ACCTGAAGTGCTCACTGAAGAGGGTCAAGGACTGCAGCCTCCAATATGGATTGAGACTCAATGTCAGGAAGACAAAGATTTTCACCACTGGGCCAATTGGCAGAATCAGGATGGATGGTGAAGAAATTGAGATTGTTCACAGCTTCAGTTTGCTTGGCTCCACAGTCAACACTCTTGGCACAAGTAGCCAGGAAATTAAAAGCTGTATTGCCATGGGAAAGTCTGCTATTAGGGATCTTTCCAAAGTTCTGAAGAACAATGGTGTCTCTCTGGAGACTAGGGTGCGTCTGATATAGGCCATGGTCTTTGCAATCACTTGCTATGCATCAGAGAGTTGGACAATGACTAAGGAGGCTAGAAAGAGAGTTGATGCCTTTGAGCTGTGGTGCTGGAGAAGAGTATTGAGTGTACCCTGGACTGCTAGAAAAACAAAGAGATTCATCCTGGAGAGGGTTAAACCGGGCTGCTCCTTGGAGGCAAGGATTCTGAAGCTTTGTTGACATACTTTGGACATGTTGTAAGGAGAGACCAGTCCTTGGAGAAGGACACCATGCTTGGGAGGGTGGAGGGACAGCATAGGAGGGGAAGACCCTCTATGTGGTGGATTGATTCAGTAACTGGAGTAATTGGGATGGGAGTGTCTGAGACAGTGTGATTGGCACAGGACAGAGCAGAGTTTAGGCCTGTTATACACAGGGTTGCTATGAGTCGCAAGTGACTAGACAGCACATAACAACAACAACAATTCATTTCCCTGGAAATCTTTGTCTTGATCACGTTCAATCCAAGAAAAGAGAAATAACAGAAATAGAAAGTATTTGTAATAGAAATTTTTAAAAATTTAACTTTCTGCAAAAAATGATGTTTTTCCTACCTGCTGCTGAGCAGAGAACTCAACAACATCAAGCTGTCCTCCATGTTGGCGATGATGTCAGAGGTACTGTCTCCTCGCAGGAGGAGTTCGCCACGGGATTTGAAGCTGCCAAAAGTGAAGGTTTTGTTGTCCCACTCATTGATAACCTGCTTCAGCTTTTGTTCAATATCTCTCTCCTTCACAGCGCTGATACAGATGTCCTAGCAGGAAGGCAAGCTAGGGTTTATTTCACAAAAGCCACATAATCTTCTTCAATAGACATAGTGAAACAGAGGTCATTTCTTCACTAGTTGCATCATGCATATCAGTAAACACTTCTACCTCCACATTCAAACTGCGATACATAATACATACTGTATGTAGTCATAGACTTAGGCATGGATATGGCAATAGAGACGTAACTAAATAAAAGAGGCTTAATTTTTAACACTCCCCCAAGCAAACTCTTTCAGAAAGAAAGATGGTGAAAAATATTTGATGTGATAAACTCAAAATTTCACATGGTTTTCATTTAGCTATCAAGACGTACTACGGCAGTATGTGAGGGAATTAGTTGTTGTTATTGTTGTTGTTAAGTGTCGTCGAGTCACAGGCGACTCATAGCGACCCTGTGAAGGAAAGTCCTCAACATTTATGTGACTTTCATCCTCTCTCCAGGTTCATAGGATTTCCGGAGACAAGCTATTACGGGAAGTAGATACCACTCCTGCTTCCAAGCTTGTTTCAACCAGGGAGCTCCACCAAACACTGCCATGGGTAACCATTATCGCATTTGACACATCAGTGTCACAGTGTTCAGCTTCACAGCGACCACAAGTTACCACTGTATGGCAAGTGGACACATATCTCTGGTCACTTTCCCAGCATCCTTTGTAGCCTCGCCCTCCACTCTCTTCTCTCCTTACACTTCACTCCCTTCATGGGTAAGCTCAGCTCTGTCCACTCATTCATTCAGTAACCTTTTATTTCTGTGAACAAGACCTGAATCTATCTCGTCTCTCATTGGACATCTCTACTAGGATATTTCAAGGGCCTCACAAACAGAATATGTGGAATATCAAACTCATCCCCCAAAACAAACCCATGACCTTTGGACTTTATCACTCACCTCAGTGTCACCATGTTGCTGTTGTTATTGTTGTTGTTGTTAAGTGCTGTCAAATACAACCCACAGTGACCCTATGAACAGCAGATCTGAACCCCATCCTATCCTGTGCCATCCTCACAGTTCCTGACATGCCAGAGCCCACTGTGACAGTCACCATGTGAAGTCACCTGGTCAAGGGTCTTCCTCTCCTTCACCGACCTTCTACTTTCCCAGCATCATGTCCTTCTCCATGGAAGAGCCCCTCCTAGCAACATGCCTGAAGTATGTGAAGCCAAGCCTTATAATCCTTGCCTCTGGCAGTCCAGTGCTCTTCTCCAACATTACAGCTCAAAGGCATAAATTCTTCTGTCATCCCTGTTCACTGTCCGGCTCTCAGATGCATAGCAAGTGAGTAGAAAGACCATGACCTGAATCAGAAGCACCTTAGTCCTCCAAATGACATCATTACTACTCAGTAAATTAGGGAGGTCCTGGACTGCAGACTTTCCCAGTGCACTGTGTCTCCTGATTTCCTGACTGTGTGCTCTGGAAAGTAGTGTCACCCTAGCTCAGTGATAAGCACCATGGTCCATTTAGTGCTCTCACAAGTCACCTATCATTCTTTCTCAGCTCTTTTCCTACTCTCTTTTTCCACTTTCATGGCATTGCCTCCTCTGCCAAGTCTTTTGCCCTAAATGTCTCTTAACTTTCTCCTATTCTTCACCTTTCCTAATTCCCTCTTGCTTCCTGTCCAGTGCAACTTTATCTCTCACTTCAGCTACTCTCGAATGTCCCAATTTGTTTCTCTATTTTCCCCTCCTCCATTCTCCCTCCACATTGCTACCAGACTGACTGTTAAAAGTGTAAGTCTAACCACAGCATCTCCTGCTCAGACGCATTATTCGTTACTCCAACCATCAGCCTACTGTTAAGCCCCTTTACCTCCCCAACCTCATTCATGCGCACTTTCTCTCACCTCCACGCCCCAATCTATACCAGCTTTCTTGTGGTTCTTCAAATGGACCTCAGGGCCCTAATGCATGCCTTCCACTAGTGTGGAACTGTCTCCTCTGCATTTGCCAACTCAGCGCCCTTGCACACACCACACAAAAACATTGTCTTCACCCACTCAGTTCTGCAGACATGACCCAGCCGTCTCTATGTCATCTACCTTTTCTACCACCCCAGACTAAGTCTACACTCTTAGCACAGGCTCCCAAAGCACTGTCTATCTCTCCTTCAGTAGTATATCTCAGTTACCCATTTATCTTCTTTGTGTAATTATTTAAATGCACAGATCATTTGCTGGGTTTTATTTGCCTTTAAATGAGCCACTGAATCATGGTGACCTCTTCCATGACAGGAAAAAAAAAGAAAAAGATACTGTCTGGTCCTGCACTGTCTCCATGAGCAGTTGTGGCCAAAGTAGTTGGGATCCATAGGTTTCTCATAGGCTGAATTTGGGGAGTAGGGCACCAGGTCTTTCTTCCTAGTCTAACTCAGTCTAGAAGTGCCACTGAAAACTGGTCATCATCAGAGCAACACACAAGCTTCCACTGAGAGAAGGTGGTAGCTGTGCATGGTCCAGGCATCGAACCCAGCTCTCTCACATGGAAGCCAAGAATTCTATCATGGAACCACAAAGCAGTTCAGGGTCTACTCATGCAAGGGTCCATCCCTATCTTCCAGCATCTAGCCCCGACTCGGTCATACAGCACACCTTAAGAACTACTTGTTGAAGAGTTGATGAATAGATGCCAGAAATTGTGCTGGAAAAGAGTCTCAATTTTCCTCATTTGATCTACGGACTCAATTTTCCAAACATAGAAAAGCTCTTGAAAGAATTTGCACAAGATATTTCAATCTTCCAGCACATCATGCTATCAATTATACCTCAATTTCCTCTTTGTATTTCAGCAGTGGGGCCTCCATAATGTTTCTTAACTTGAAGGTTTCGTTCTCCACGTCTAGATGGTGTCCAGTGAGGGCGGTTATTCGCTGCCAGTGTCTCGCCATCATGGCCTTGCTGGTCATGTGCTCCAGCAGGGGGCAGCACTCACTGAAGTCGTCAATGGTTTTCTTCAGGTCCTGAAACGCCTGCCAGTCCTTCAAGGCCCTGGGCAGTTTGCGGCACCTGCAGAGAGGCCAGCAAGAAAGGCCAGTCAGACAGGAGTCTGCAAGACGTCTCCAGTCCAACAGGATCTTTTCCATTTCTACCAAAATTGCTCCCACATCCCATTCCATCCCAGTGTGCAAATGTCACATCTCAAAGCATGCCTATCTGTTAAAAGTGTTGTTGTTCTTATCATTATGTGATGTTGAATTGCTTGCGACTCATAGTGACCCTATGTATAATAGCCCTAAACCTGCCCTATCTTGTGCCAATCTCACTGTCTCCGACACACCTACCCCAAGTACCTCATTCACTGAATCAATCCACCTCATTGAGGGTCTTCCTCTCCTGAGCTGTCCCTCCACTCTCCCAAACATGATGTCCCTCTCCAAGGACTGGTCCTTCCTTGCAACATGTCCAAACAAAGTATGTGTGATGAAGCTTCAGAAGCCTTGCCTCCAAAGAGCAGCCTGGCTTCACCTTCTGCAGGACAAACCTGTTTATTCTCCTAGCAGTCCATGACATATACAATACTCTTGTCCAGCATCACAGCTCGAAGGCATCAATTCTCTTTCTATCATCCCTAGTCACTGCCCAGCTCTCTGATGCATAGCATACAATTGTGAAGACTATAGCCTGGATCAGGCGCACCTTAGCCTCCAGCCTGACGTCGTTGCTCTTCAGTACTCTTGAGAGATCCCTCACAGCTGTCTTTCCCAACCCAATTTTTCTCCTGATTTCCTGGCTGCTGGTACCAAGAGTGTTGACTGTGGAGCCAAGCAAATTAAAGCTGTGAACTATCTCAATCTCTTCACCATCCATGCTAATGCTGCCAATTGGCCCAGTGGTGAGAATCTTTGTTTTCTTGATTTTGAGCTGATTTGTATATTACAGACAAGTCACTCTTGGCAATCAGGAGAGGTTTTGTTTCAATACCTTTTGACAATGCATGAAGTAAAAAGCATCTGTTTAAAGGATGTCTTCCAATTCAGCTCAAATATTGAGAGCTTAATTAGCACAAAGCCCACCATTATGTACGGAACAAGCATCTTTCTAGTTTCTTTGAAAATAACACTTAAAATAATGTACTGGTGAACATAAATTAGCCCAGAAAGATGATTGTAAAAGTGATGATGCTTCAAATTCTGTAGCTGAGTCATAGCTGAGTCATAGCTGGCCCTCCAGCAGGTTTTCAGAGGCAGTAAGTCACACGGGAGGAGACTGTCCATCCTTGTCCTCCGGAGCAGCTGGTGGGTTCAAACCCGGTGCCTTTGGGGTGGCAGCACAACTTCCTATCCCTAATCCTGGAGAGCTCCTAAAACTATCTGGAGTAGACAATTGCATAGAGATCATGGCTTATTAGCAGTGACTAGGCATGTGGAGAGGAGAGAGAGGAGAAAAGGAGTCATTGTTTAAGGGTCTAAAGTTTTACTAAAGATCATGGGGGGGGGGAATGGAAATGGGTGATAGTGATACTTGTGTAACATGTTGGATGTAGTCAATGGCACTGACTGTACAAGTGAATATGTTGTTGATGTTGTTATGTGCCGTCAAGTTGCCTGCGACTCACAGCGACCCTATGTATGTACAACAGCCCTGAAACCTGCTCTATCCTGTACCAACTTTCCTGTCTCTCACACACTTACCCTCATTCTCCCAGTCACTGAACCAATTCATCTCATCGATGGTCTCCCTCTCTTTCTCTGTCCCTCTACCCTTCCAAGCATGATGTCCCTCCCCAAGGACCGGCCTGTACAGAGGGGCAATTAATTAATTAATAGCATTTGACAAGGGTGATGATGATAATGGACAGTGTGAGGGCACCCAGATGGGCCGCTGGCACACGTGGAGCTAGAAGAGAAGCTGAGAGTCAATCTAAACAGAAAGGCCAGCAGTCCGGTGATTCTGGGTACACGCACCATCTCCCTGCTCACCTGTTCTGGAATTCTAAGAGTTCACTGTTGATTTTTTCGACATTCACTTCTGACCAGAGGATATCCTGGTAGCTGTTTACAGTCTGTATGACATTGTTGTACAGCGTGTATATTTTCTGCAGAAGATTTAGCTGCTTCTTAATCTCGAGAAGCTGAGGGTACTGCGTGACAGGCAAACCAAAGAGTTCCTCTCCCCCGGTGTAAGTAATGTACTTCCGATAGATGTTATCAAATTGATTCTAACAAAAACACAAGCGAAAACTCATCAAAATGGTTTGCACATGAACGAACATGCAAATGAAAAGAGAGAGTGGCAGACAAGTAAGCCTCAATGATCACTGGGAACGTATAAATATGGATATTAAGTGGTTGTAATCACTCACAAACAGAAAGCATCTTCAATTGTTACCATACCAGATCATATTTTTGAAATGTGAGTGATGTGGTCATCTTCCACAAGCATGTAATTAAAAATATGTATTTAAAACACAACTTGATTTTGCTTGTTTAGAAAATCACAGAAGTTAAAAAGTTTACCTGGAACATGATGAGCCGATCACTGGCTTCTTGAGGCTTCAAGTCAGTGACCATTGGACCATTCTGAAAAATAAAATAAATGTGGTGGTGTGGTCAGGTGCCATAGAGTCGCCTGCAACAACCATATGTAGCCTCTGAAGCCTGCCCTATCCTCAGCCAGTCTCACTGACTTTGACACACCTAAGCCCATTGCCCCAGTCACTGTATCAATCCATCTCATCCGGGGTCTTCCTCTCCTGTGTTGTCCCCTCCACCCTTCAGAGTACAATATCCTTCTCCAAAGACTAGTCTCTCCTGGCCACATGCCCAAAGTATGTGAGACGGAGCTTCAAAATCTTAGCCTCCAAGAAGAGACTTAGTTTCACTCTCTCCAAGACAGACGTATTTGTTTTCTTGGCAGTCCGTGGTATGTTCAAGACTCTTCTCCAACTCAAAGGCATCAATTCTGCTGCTGGCGTGCACACACACATATATGCCGTTGTGGTTGCTGTTGTATACCATCAAGGTTAAATCGGCTGAGCTGCCAGCATTTTTTCAGAGGCAGTTTAATCACACGCAGAAGGTTGCTCATCTTTCACCTGCAGAACAGCTGCTGGACTCAAACCGCATACCTTTTGGTTATCAGTGTAATTCTTTACCACTAGACAACCAGAGCTCCATATATATCATATATACAAATACTCGAAAACTGCAATCTAGTCAGTCCCAACTCACGGCCATCCTTGTGTGTCTCAGTAGACCTGTGCTCCCTTGGGATGGCAGTGGCTGTGACATTTTGGAAAGAGATTGTCAGGCTTTTCTGCAGAGGCACTTGTGTGTGGGCGTGAACCACCAACCTTACAGTTCAGAATTAGGTAAGAGCTCAGAGCTGCCTCATTTGCGCCACCCAGCTAACTCCTAATGTGAACCACACTTTCAAATTCCCCATATCCCAGTAAAAGAAAACATTCTGGATGAACTCTCTGGCTAAACAAGGCTTGTGAAAGGGGACTGCTCTTGCTCTCATGAAAACCAATTTCTGATTCCTGTGCACACCAGCTTTTATGGAATTTGATACATGGTTTTCAAACAAGTATTCTTGTTCACACTCTACTCACTCTCCCAAGAGAACAAATAGGTATGTCTTGTAGAGGGTGCAGCCGGAGTGCTCTTTGGAGGCAAGAATGATGAGGCTTTGCCTCATGTACTTTAGGCATGTTGCTTGGAGGGGCTATTCCTTGGAGAAGGACATGATGCTTGCTGGGAAGGGTGGAGGGTCGGTAAAGGAGAGCAAGACCCTCAACCAGGTGGGTTGACACAGTGGTGGCTGCAATGGGCTCTTGTGTGTCAGGAAGTGTGAGGATGGCACAGGGTAGAAGAGGGTTCAGATTTTTTGTTCATAGGGTCACTATGAACAGTACTCAACTCGATAGCACCTAACAGCACTCGGTCTCCCACTGAAGGCACAAGGAGAAAGCAGAGTCATACCAACTCATAATCCAGATAGAACTGCTGGCAGTCCTGGACAAAGACCCCCACGCTACTGATGAGCTCCTTCCTGAAGCCGGGCTGCAGGGCGACCAGCTCGTTCTGGACATCACTGGCTCGCACCAGCAGCTTCTGCCACGTGTAGCGTAGGGTGTCAACTTTGTCCATCTCTTCTTTTGCTACCAGAAGTCCATATTTGTTCAGCAGGGCATAGGATTCCTACAGAAAAGAAGAAAACCCTCATATTTGCTAAAGGTATACAGACAAATGTGCTCCATACAGACATGTATTTAAGCATTAGCCTGGAAAGGATGAGAATGATAGGGAATTCGCTCTGAGAATTCTAGTTACCTTACTTGCAAAATATTAAACTTCTTGTTTCCTTCTGTGTCTTCAGCACAGCATAAGGCAGAACGCCTCGTAGCTGGCAGAGTGCACTGTAAGCCATCAAGTGGTACTCTACTCATAGCTGACCCTCCAGGAGGTGTTCAGAGGCTGTAAGTTGCACAAAATATTACCCATCTTTCTCCTGTGGAGTAACTAGTGAGTTCAAACTGCCTGCATCTGCATTACAAACTGGAAGATCATCAATGAGTGATGGCTCCATTCTATTTGTTTCTTCACTTATAAAAGTTAGAAAAGTGCTCTATGTTCTTGGCACATTTTATGATTATCAGAGAACTGTTGTCTTAAATGTATTTGAAAAATGTAACACTGTATATAAATAGAAGACTTTTTTTTTACTGTGACTTGCCAGAGATTACAACAGAAGATTAAAACTATCCTATAATAAGTACTCTAACATGTATCGTAATTATAAAGGCCTTGGTTGCAGTGGTTAAGAGCTTAGCTAAAAACTAAAAGGTCAGTGGTTCAAACCCACCAACTACTTCATGTAAGAGAGATGTGGTAGTGATTGTGCTTCTATAAAGATTACAGCCTCATAAATCCTATGATCAGTTTTGCTTTGTCCTATAAGGTGGTAAAGAATTGGAATTCATTCAATGGTTCATTCAATTTGGGTTCACTCAGTGGTTGTTTTTCTCATCTTGAAGGACATCACTGTGCATCTATCTAGAACATCAATCCAGGACTGAACAAACCTCCAGCTCACAAAATCCAAAAAGAGAGAGAGATCTAATGACTAAACGTCTGTACTTTAGTTACCTCAATAGGCCCGATTTGAAAGTCGATGCCAATTTGCTGCTCCCTGATTTCTTTTAGTGCTGCCATGGCAATCCGAATGTCGTCCAGGTCTTTAATTGGACGATTCAGTTTCTTACTGAAGTCTTCCAGCAGGGTGAGCACGTTTTCCATCTCACTTCTGTATTTTCTGTTACAGTGCCGACCTATGACAACCATCCACGCCTTCGTCTCCGCGGTCAGGGCGACCTTCAAATCCGCTGCAAAACCAACATCCAGCGTTCAGTCTGGAAAACCTTGAAGCCAGTAAGAAGACACCACGCAGCTGCTCACCCACAATCAAAAAGCTGTGTGATTCATGGAAGAACAAAGTGGAAAAATACATTCTCCTTTATTAGAAAAGGGTATCAAGGTTGGAAAGGTAGAAGATCAGTGAAAGAGAGGAAGACCTCCAATGAGATGGATCGACCCAGTGCCTGCAGCAGTGGGCTCAAGTGTATCAGAGATACATATGGTGCAGCACAGGGCAGGGTGCAGATCTGTCACGCATAGGGTCGCTATGAGTCGTACTCAACTTGATGGCAGTTAACAATACAACTCCTTGCTTATTTGCTCATTTAATCAGACTCATTTCTGTAACCCATCAAGACATTTCAAAACGCTAAAAAGAAAAAGGACAAAACTCAAATCAGAGATAAGTCTCAAATGTTTACTTTTAGTTTTTAAAAAGATGGTTCATTTTAATTCGTGTGTCCCTTTTTTCTGAGGAAAAAAAAATTTGTTTTCAAAGATTCGTCCAGAATAGATACTCAAGCAAAAGAGAACTAAAAACAAACAAAAATTGGTTTTAAAGCTCTAGAAAAATTCTAAAGTGCATCTTGCAGAGAATTAGAATTCTCAGAAATACCAGTCTAAAAGAAGGAGATGTAACAACACCGCTGAATTTTTGTGATTGTCTGAGAGACGATAAACCAACCTGTATACAGAGCAATGGAACCCACACAGATGTACTCCGGCTCAGCGTTAATCTCCTGTTCTAATTTTCGAAAATAGAGAATCTGAGATTCAAATTCTGAAAGTAAGGGGTTTTTCAGAATAAACGTATTTGTGGTTTCTTCTTTCTCCTTTTGCCAAATGTGATTGTAGCACTTGAAACAGTCCAAGGAGGTAACAACTTCCTAGGATATAAGTAAGAACAGAGTTACAGTGAGAAGGCAGAGTCTGAAATGGCAACACGCTATATGCCTATTTGCCGGTGGCATCCTACCATTCCTTCTCGCCTTCCACAGGGGAGGCCTGGACGGGATTCCATCCCCAGCCAATGTAGCTCGTACCTGTCAGTGGAAGCTTGATCCTGCGTGAGGCTGATCAAGGTTTCAGAGCACCTTCCAGACTAAGACAGACGAGGAAGGATGGTCTGGGAGCCTACTTACAAGGGAAATCCTATGAATCTTATTGGTCTGGTCCCTCTGTGCATGGGTGGGGTTGGCATGAGTCATGAGCGAACGGACAGAAGTGAACAATAATTTCTTATCGATTAACTACAACCTTTTTCAATGTTAGTTAATTCTGCAGTGACTGAGACTAATCACATGATTTCCTTAGTGAACACGTGCCACAGATGCCACAGAACTGGACTACTGTATACACGAAGGTGTGAGCAGACACTCAGGGTTGTCGTTATGCACCACTGAGTTGGAATCAACTAACAGCTAACCCTCCAGTGGATTCTCAGAGAGAGTCTCCAGAGCAGGAGGTTGGCCATCATTCTCCTGCAGAGAAATCGGTGGATTCAAACCGAGTGCCTTCGGTTTGACCCCACAACACCATATCCCCAAGCCACCAGAGCGCCTTACCCAGGTTTATTGGCAATGAAGCTGTGATCAGTCTGCTGGAAAACAGGGAAAAGGTAGTTTCTACAAATTTGAACAAGAGTCCTTGGAAGACCTTGTAGACACCACCCCTCTGCTGAGTCAAACACAGGTCAAAAATAAAAAATGATTTTTAAAATTACTATCGAACTTGGGAGGGATTGGAGAACATTAAGCTAAGTGAACTAACTCAGTCCAGTAAGGACAAATACTGTATAAGACCATTACTGTAGAATATGTATGAAGATCCAAGTGGGGGAGGGTGAAAGCAGAGGGGTGAGGATAAGGGGAAGAGGGTTAATCGTAGGGTCGCACGATTAGATGGGTGTGGGAGGGGTGGGTAAAGGAAATGGGAAAGATCCAGTGTGGAAAAAATAATGTGTACAAACTTTGTAAATAAACCAATATAAAACCAAAATATTTAAAATTTTTTTAAAGTATGATGCTTAAATAATGTCATCATCATGGAATTATAGACATACACGTTGTTGAACTGGTGTCTTCTCAAACCCAAACACACTTTCACCAAGTGGATTCCAAACTGTCTCATAGAGTTTTCAATACTGAATCTTCATAAGAGCAGATTGCCATTTCATCCTCCCTTTTTGACATGGCCAGTAGGTTCAAGCCACATGTCTTTTGACATTAGAGCATTCTGAGGACGGTGTCACTAAGGACTCGTTAAGTACTCAGCCACAGTTAAAAAAAAACAATAATAATTTCCACCTAAATCCAGAACTCAAGATAATAGTACAGGGTTAGTGTGAAGAGGAAAAATCCCGAGTCACACTCTTCCCTCCCTCTGATCTCCTGCCAAGACTTTCCACTGGTCAAGCCCAGCTGGATATCTTAGTGAGAATCTGCCAACATGGTCCTATAGTCAGCCTCCAATGCACAAAGTTGAGAGAAAGAGAGAGTAAATGGACTGGCAGGCAGATCCTAGTCAAACACCCCATCTAGAAACATACTACATCTCCAAAATGCCAAATCATTTTCTAGAGCCCATCTGTTGTTGTTGTTGTTGTTGTTGTTATGTGCCGTCAAGTTGCTTGTGACTCATAGCGACCCTATGTACAACAGCTCTAAACTCTGCTTTGTCCTGTGCCAATCTCACTGTCTCCAACACACTCATCCCAATTTCCCCAGTCACCAAATCAATCCATCTCCCAGAGGGCCTTCCCCTCCTGCGCGTGCCCTCCACACTCCCAAGCATGATGTCCCTCTCCAAGGACCGGTCTCTCCTTACAACATGACCAAAGTATGTCAGACAAAGCCCCAGAATCCTTCCCTCCAAGGAGCAGCCCAGTTTAACCCTCTCCAGGATGAATCTGTTTGTCTTCTTAGCAGCCCATGGCACCCTCAGCACTCTTCTCCAACACCAAAGCTCAAAAGCATCAATTCTCCTTCTATCCTCCCTGGTCATTGTCCAGCTCTCTGACGCATAAGTCATTGCAAAGCCCATGGCCTGTACCAGACGCACCTTCGGCATATATGAAAAAGAGCCCATCTAGTTAGTTTCAACCTTCGTAACTGTTACTGCTGTTGTTAGGAGCCATCCAGTCAATTATGACTCACAGCAACCCTGTCAATAATAGACCCGAACCCCGTGCTATCCTGTACCATCCTCATTTCTAACATTGCTGCAGTCACTGAGTCAACCCATCTGGCTGAGAATCTTCCTCTCTTTAGCTGACATTCCACCTTTCCAAGCAAGATGTCCCTTCATAAGGAACAATCTCCTTCAACACAGATTACATTTCAACATCAAGAAGACAGATGTTCTCACCACTGGCCCAACAGACAGCGTCACAACAGATGAATCTTCATGGAGGCTCCACATTTTTCCTATCGTGGATGGTCTTTAGACATTTTATTGGTATTATTATAAACAGTAACTTTTCTGGCTATTATTATAATCACTGTATATGGGTGACATTATTGGAAAGTGAAATATGAGAAGAATGAATATAGGTAAATTAGATATTGTTAAGAGAGAAATGGAATGCCTAAATATTGACATACTGGACACTGATGAAATGAGATGGATTGGCATGGGAAATTTTGAAACAGACATTCACATGATCTACTGTGTCAGAAATGAAAAGGTGAGAAAAAACAAGGTTTTAATCATGGTTAAAAAAACCATTTCAAAATTCACCTTGAAATATGATATAACAGGATAATATCCATACACATACAAAGAAGTCTTGTTAAAACCATAATTATTTAGATACGTTGATATTTAAATATATGCACCAAAAATCTGAGCTGAAGAGAAGGAATTAAATTATTTCTACAAAAGTTCACAGTCAGAAATCAATCAAACATACAATCAGGATAGAGTAATAATAATGGGTGACTGGAACGCACAAGTTGGGAATGAAGAAGAATCAACAGTTGGAAAACATGGACTTGGTGACAGAAATGAGGCTGGAGATAAAATGAAAGACTTTTGTACAGTCAATGATTTATTCATTGAAAATACATTTTATATGACCAGAGAATTGATGCGTTCTAACAGTGGTGCTGAAAAAGAGTTTTGAACATACCAAAAACTGCCAAGAGAACTAACATGTCCATTATCCTAGAGAGGGTGAAACCAAGCTGCTCCTTGGAGGCTAGGATTTTGAGACTCCATCTCACATACTTTGGGCATATAGCCAGGAAGGACCAATCCCCGGAGAAGGATATCATGCTTGGAAGGGTCAAGGGACAGTGTAGAAGAGGAAGACCCCAGATAAAATGGGTTGACACAATAACTGGGGTAACAGAGGTAGCTGTGTCATAGAGCAGGGTTTGGAGCTACTGTGCATAGGATTGCCATGAGTTGTGGTAGAGTCAATGGTACATAACAACAACAACAACAACAACAACAACAACATAAGTATGAAGTTTTTATTCTTTAATAAACAGTCTAATTTGCAATGAATTGAGCTTCTATAGCATGGCCTTCAACCAGGTCCATTCCTGTTCCTCCCCTAGCTGAGAATTTGCATTGACACTCCAGATACATGGAATTAGGATCTACATTTTAACAAATTCTCCAGGATTCTTAGCAATCCTTATGTGATTCTTAGCTGTATATGAACTACCTGTGTAGAGATGCTTTGCTTATTTTTCATTGCCAAGTTTAATTGTTTGCTCTAGCTTGCTTATTAAGACAGACAATGTTCTAAGTGGATGGCTAACCAGTGGATTTTCTTAGGGTAGGTCAGGCTTGTACTGTAGCTCTGTTGGGCTAGAGGAAGGGGTCACGTATTAGAGGAAGTTCCGTGGTTCTATATCATTCAGAAGGCGTCAGGTCATGTCTATGAAAGGCTGGCCATGACCAGTACTACGGCGAACTGTGCATTTAGTCTTCCAAAGGCAAGTACATTCTGTAAATGGGATGGAAAGTTCTTTAAGTTATTCAAATGCTGATTCTTTTATTTTGGGGAAGACTAAACCCTTGACAAGATGGGTTGACACAGTGCATGTAGCAATTGGCTCAGGTATGTCAGATAGGAAATTTCAGATGCACTGTTCATAAGGTCACTATGAGTCTTAGTCAACTCGATGGCACATAACAACAATAACAAACATTTGGTCATTTCCTATATGACACAAAAGCAAAATCAACAGAAATTATAAAGGGAAGAGTACTTTGCTACAAACTTAATGTCCATTTTAGTTACGCCTTACTCATGTTGTTATTAATGCTGTTATGTGCCACTGAGTCACCTGTGACTCATAGTGACCCTATGTACAACAGCTTTGAAGCCTGCTCTATCACGAACCAGTCTCACCGATTCCCCATAGATATTTATAATACTGTCATTTATATTCCGAAAAATCAAGAGTCTTTATTACAGGTGTATTTCATTTCCATGATCACTTGGATTTTTTTAATTCTGAGGTGAATTATATCATCATAGAATGTTGTTACCATGTACTATCAAGTCAGAATCCACTCACAGCAGAACCTTCCAAAGATTTTCAGAGACAATAAATTGTATGGGAGGAGATTGTCCATCTTTTGCCCATGGAGCAACTGATGGATTCAAACCATGTACCCTTGCGGTGGCAGTGCAACTCCTTACCATCAAGCCACCAGAGCTCCCTTTCAATCATCATAGAACACCTAATATTAACTATTTGATACCGCGTCCTTTATACTATGCACTACCTTCATGGAGATTCCAACTCACAGCGACCCTGGGACAGAGCGGAACTCATCAGTCCCCTAGGCTGCAGAAGTTACATCATAACCACCAAGCTTCTGGTTAGCAGCTATATTTTCTAGTCACTGCATCACCAGGACTCTTCCACTATAATAAGCATAAGATAAATGTCTGTTAAATTGAATTATGTTAACATTGTCTCTAGGGTAAAATTAAATAAAGGACTTCAATATATTAAGAGAGCAAAATTGAAAGTGTATAAATTCAAAAGCTTGGATTTCCCTCAGGAACATTACTATCCAAATTAATAACAGTTCCTTACATTGTTATAACAGCTGCAGCATTTCAGACTGCTTTCAAACAATGTAATCTTTCCTATCAAAAGCAAGCAATAGAAAAGATGTATTTACCGAACAAAACTATCCCCTCAATATTCAGAAACATTTTCAAACAGTCAAAAGATCTTAGTGGAAATGGGGATATATAAGATAAAAAAAAAAGTCTTAAAAAATTACTTCAGGGATTGATTTTTTTATTTCTGCTTTTTAAAAATTCTTTTATGCTACAGAAGCTGAAAAAGGAAATTAGGAGAAAACTGTGTGGTATGCCATCCAGGTGGAACTGACTCATCGCTGACCCCTCCAGCAGGTTTTCACAGGCAATGTGCCTTACAGAAGGAGAATGCCCATCCTTCTCTCTCTCTCCGACAGCTGGGATTCGAACCACATGCAGGTTCAAGGTTGCAGGTGCAGCTTAGCAAAACTTGCTTTTATGTCTAGTTGTTGTTGTTAGGGGCCTTCGAATTGACCGTGGCTCAAAGTGACACTATGAATAATAGATCATAATCTTGCCCTATCCTGAGCCATCATCATAATGGCTTTTGTTATGTCTAAAATAAGGTGGCCTAGTGGGAAGAAACTACATTGAAACCTTGAAGGCAAGCAGTTCAAATCCACCAGCTGCATCACAGGAGACACATGGGTAATCTCCTACCATGTGATTAATTGCCTCTGAAAACCTTCCAAAGAATTAGCTAGGATTGGTTCCAACTCGATGGTATACAACACCACCAGAAGCTTAGGGAACTCTGCTGACTTAGTGGTAAGGAATAGGGATTCCAACCCAAAAGCACATGGTTCAAATCCATTCAGAGGAAGAAAGATGATCGATCTCACAAAAATTCTATTTACATGCAATTTACTGCCTCTGAAAACCCACTTGACGGTCAATTCCAACTTGGTTGTGCATAACTACCACAGCACAAGCTTGTGATTACAAGGTCAAATTTTATTTATTCTAATTCTGACAATCCACATAAATTTTTACTGTCTGATGTTTTCTAAGATTCTCTTGAGTACAAACATGAAAAGATAACTTTGAGTATTTGTCTTTTTTGAATACACTTTTCTATTTCAAATATCACTGAGATTGAAAATTAATTACAACCGGATTCTCACTTGTGGGTAAGGCACACAACTTTTTTTTTAATGGTTAGACTTGCTTGTAGTAAAAGAGGTTAAAGGCAATCTGAAACACAATATGAAAAATGAACAACAGTTCTTCTCCTTACAATCTATGATGAAAGTGATTTTTAATTAAACAAAGAAGCAAAGAGTCCATTACCCGTTCACTGAGGGTACAGTGGGTACAATGGCTCAGGCGACACAGAGGACACACTTGTAGTATTGAATCTTTCACCCATGCATAAATTATAAAGCAAATGTTCTAGCTACACATTCTCTAGACATACCTTTTTCGTAGAGTTGATGATCGTACTAAGCACAGAGACCAACTTTACAATTTCCTTATTGTCAGAAACATTCTTATAATAGTTCTTAGTATGTACTGGAATAGGTAAATTTACAGATGCAATCTCAATGGTATCTAAACAAAAGAAAGAGATAAGGTTTTGATAATGAGGTTTTTATTAACATCATAAGCACTGTAATTCTAAAAGATGATGTGCGGTCTAAAAAATGTGAAGATCTTCTTGATAAAAAGCAATGAGAAAGACTCCAAATAAGTGAATCGCTTCTGAAAAACAAGAATGAAGTGGGAGGTGTATCTCTCCCTGACCTCAAAACGTACTCTACAGATTTAATAACCAAAACAGCATGGTACTGGAACAATGACAGGCACACAGACCAATGGAACAGAATCAAGAACCCAGAAATTGGAGAGCTCTGGTGGCCTAGTGTCAAGGAGCTGCAACTACAATCCCAGAGGCGCACAGTTCGAATCCACCAGATGCTCTGCTGGGAAATAAGGGATAATCTCCTCCTGTACCAGTCAGATCTGATTTGACGGTACACTCACACAAAAATAATAAAATTTAAAAATAAAAGAACCCAGAAATTAACCCATCTTCCTATTGTCAACTTCCTATTGACAATGAAACAAAACTCATCAAATGAGGAAATGACAACCTCTTCAACAAATGGCTGGCAAAACTGTAGAAAGTTGAACAAGGATCTACATCTCACATGATACACAAAAACCAGGTCAAGGTAGATCAGAGACCTAGGGGTAAAACCCCAAACCATGAAGATCAAAAGAGACATAATGGGATCAACTTAGAAGGCCTTCTCTTTGTTACATATAGACAGGCACATACAGCCAGAAATGCACAACCAGGAAAACATAATAACATAGATGAATGGGGCCTTTCAAAGACTAAGTCCCTGTGTGCATCAAAACTTTTTTCAATAGTGAGGGTAGGGGGAAAGAACCTACTGATGAAAACATTTGGCAATACCATCTCAGACAAGGGTCTAGTAGCAAAAGTTAACAGCTTACTACAGGGCCTCCACAAGGAAAAAAACTGATCACCAAATTACAAAATGAACTAAAGACTTTTCACAAAGGAAGACATTCGGCTGGCCAACAGGCAATTGAAGAAATTCTCAAAATCACTGGCAATAAGAGATTTACAAATTAAAACCACATAAGACACCATCTCAAACCAGTAGCAGTGGCAAAAGTTTAATAGTACAGCAAGCAATAAATGTTGGAGAGAATGTGCAATGAGTGAACTCTCATAAACTGTTAGTGAGGTTATAAAATGGTACAACCACTCTGAAAGGCAGTTTGGCATATTCTCAAAACACTGAACATAGACATTCCATATGATTCAGATATTTCACTGCTAGGAATATACTCTGAGGAAAACAGAACTGAGACCTAAATGGAGAAGTGTATCCTGGTATCCACAGCACCTTTATTCTTAATAGTAAGAACATGGAAACAGATCAAATGTCCATCAAATGATAGAATGAAATTTTGGTACATTCACACAATGGAACATTACGCTGCACTCAGGAGCAATGCTTTGGAAAAACTATTCTAAAACATGGGAATAGCTATAAAGCATTATATTGAGTGAACTAATTCAGGCTCATAAGCACAAATACATCATAGATGATGTCCAAGGCAGTTCATGATGGCAGGTAAGGAATCAGTTCACACACATGACCACTGAGAACAATCCTACAGAACAGAGCAGAATTTCCCCATAGGGTTTTCAAGGCTATAAAGATTTTTTAAAGTCTTTTTTTGTTTTCTCTTTTATAGAGTATTTAAGCTAGACACCCTCCAGTGCTTAATCCATGGTGCCACCAGGACTCCTTAGAAACTACTAAAAGGGAGACACACATGTAAAACTAAATGTTCCATTCCAGTGACTCCCTTAGCAGGAACTGAAGACATTTACCTTGAAGTTCATGTTCTTCCATTTCATTTTCAGAATCACTGTCTTCATTGTTCTTCAGTGCAGCCATTTTTCTTTCTTGTACCTTTTTCTATAAAGGAAAAAGATAATTCTAATTGTGATAGAAGAAACATCTACATAAAATATAAGGCAGTTCTTTCATCCCACACAGACCTTGGAGAGCAGCTCACTGCTCCACTGCCTGACCCCTTTGGGGACGCTGACGATGCATTCCACGGCTTTGTTCAGCGTCTGCTGCATGTCCTCCAGGGCCGGGGCCATGGCGATGTTGGGAATGGCCAGGGTGATGCTCGCCTGGAAAATGGGCAGACTGCTGGGCTTCATCTTGGACACACTGTCGCTGTCTGAGTTAATACAAAACAGAGACAACTTAAGATTTTCTAACTTAAAATTGGATTTAGCCCATTTTAGCAAGGAAAAAGCAAAGCACTGGGAACAAAATACAGCCTTGGTAAACACTTACTGAATGAGTGATTCAAACAATGACTACAATTCAGTTCTTTCATTCATAGGGTCGCTGAGTCATCTAAGACTTAATGGCACCTAACAACAACAACAACGAGAGAGCTCAGTTGGCCTAGTGGGTAGAAAGTGATGTTACTAAGCCAAAGGTGAGTGATTTTAATCTGTGGCCCTCAGGCCTGGTTTTAATTGTTTTGGTCAAACATTCTTCTAAGTGGCATAGCACTGGTCTGTCCATTTGCCACACAGAGGTAACTTGTGGTTGCTGTGAAGCTGAACACTGTGGCACTGATGAGTTAAATGTGATAATGGTTACCCATGGGGGACAGTGTTTGGTGGCACTCTCTGATTAAAACAAGCTTGGAAGCAGGAGTGTCATCCACTTCTGAAATAGCTTGCCTCCGAAACCTCTATGAACTTGGAGAAATGATGAAAGTTATACAAGTGTTCAGGTCTTTCATTCATAGGGTTGCTATGAGTTGTCTACAAATTGACAGCACCTAACAGCAATAACAATGGAAAATATGTTGCTGCTGTTAAGTGCCATCGAGTCGAGCACAACTCACAGTGACCCTACGGACAACAGATCTGAACCTTGTCCTATCCTGGGCCATCCACATAATCTCTGACACACTCAAGCTCAATGCTGCAGTCAATCCACCTAGTTGAAGATCTTCCACTCTTTTGCCATCCCTCCACCTTTTCAAGTATGATGTCCCTCTCCAAGGAATAACCTCTCCTAACAACAACACCAACAACAACATGCCCGAAGTATGTGAGATGAAGCGACATCATGATACACAGCACTGCAAAGGACCCCAAGTTATTGGCTGCTAGTGACAATTTCTTATTAGGCGCACCATAAAAGGAACACATTACATAAAATCAGGCCTTAACTATAGAAAGTGACCTAAAAAACATTGAACATGATGTTCATATAACAAGATGCCAACGAATTAGTCAAAGGTAGAATAAGTAAACAAAAAAAAAATGAAAAAGTCAAATGAAAGGATGAATAAATAACCAGTTTGATATGTCAAATAAAATATGTGCCTTTTCTACCAGAGAGTTGAAATCCAAGCTCAAAGCAGTTAAAAGTGCAAGGGAAAATAAAATTTGACTCACTCTTCTTTTCCTATGGGAGAAGTTCTTCAAGTTGGGCACAGACATAGCTGCAGACATGCTGTGGTGAGGTGCTGCTGGGATGACTGCAAAACTTGTGACTTTACGTCCAAACCTTACCTGACGCTGCTCCGTCCCCACAGTTTGTGCCTAGACAGCAGTGCAGTCAGAGTGCCAAACCATCATGTTTTGTCACCCACACTAATTTCACTCTTCTAAATATGATCTTCTTGTCTAAGGAATAGTCAGTACTCACTAATGGTATTCCCCAAGTATTGAGACAATATCTCACCATCCTTGATGCGAAGAAACACCCTCGTTGTACTTCCTCCAAAATGATTGATTTGTTCTTTTAGAAGTCAATGATATATTCAATCTGCTTTGCCAACATCACAATTCAAAGGTGACCTCAATTCTTCTTCAGTCTTTCTTACACACGCATATGAAACAATTGAAAACACCCACCCTTGAGCGTAAAATGGTGCAACCACTGTGGAAGGTGGTACAGTGCTTTCTCAAAAAGTTGTAAATATACCATTTGACCCAGAAATTCCACTACTGGGAATATACCCCCAAAGAGACCATAACTGACATCCAAGCAGATACATGCACACCAATGTTTATTGTGGCTTTGTCCACAATATCAAGGAGTTGGAAAAAACCTAAGTGCCCATTAACAAACAGATGGATAGAGAAGCTGTGGTATAGTCACACAGTGGAATACTATGC